TGTGTCACTTCCCATCAGCAATGTCATCTCCTTCCAAAATCAGCTGGCTGTGGCAAACCCATGTAGTCACAGCCTGTAGGACAATGTGACTGGCCCAAAGTCCATCCTGTCCTCCCAAGTCCAGCTAAGCATCCTGAAAACAAGCTTCAACCACAGTGACCACTGACCTCCCGCTCAACACTCCTTACTATTTCTCTTAAAGAATTTTTTTGGTTGTTGTTGTTTGAGTTGTTACGAGAACTCTTCAAGTCCTACGGGACTGGTAAGAACTCTCAGGGAAATGCCTCATTCGGTTTACTAAGAATTAAGTGATGCTGTTGCTAGGTGGTAATTATAAATATAAGCACACACCCTCAGATTGCTCTTCTGTTTTAATGAGTGGCCAAGTCAAGCATCTTCAAATTAAGTACCATAACTCCTGAACTTAAGCAAAATTGATTTAGCACATGTCCAATCAGATAGCCCAATACTAGAACAGCAAAACCCACCTGCCAAGTGTGAAAACATGTTTAAAGCTACATACTAAAGCAGGGCCTTTCAAACTAACCGATGCGTGAATCACCAGGGGATCTTGTTAAAACACAGATGGTGATTTCGCAGACCTGAGCTTCTCATCTCTAACAAACCCCCAGGTGAGACCTAAGCTGAAGGTCACAGGCCAGGTGCCAGAGAGCCACTAGCAATGCACCACAAGAGCCATTCCTAATGTCATGCTCATTGAAAAGCCAGTTACAGGGGCCAGGGAGATGGCTCAGTGGAATAAGCACTTCCCTGGCAAGCACAAGGACCTGAGTTCAATCCCTGGTTTCAGAAAAAAAAAAAAAAAAAAAAAAAGCCAGTTATCATTAAAAATTAAAAAATGAAGAAATATGGTTTGAACTGATTTACCAGAAAGAAGGTCATGATACGAGCCAAAGACATTTATAATCAAGAACTTTCACAATCTAGTGCTAGCCCAATCCTCTGACTAGTCGGCAACTGTAACAGAAAATCACTTTTCCATAGACTGATGTCCCTGGATGGTCGGAGGCACCTCATGACAGACCTAACTGCTCAGCAACAGTTTATGTCCAGGAGCTATAGGATAAAAGAGCAGGAAGTAATAAAAACATGAGTAGCGCTTTATGGTGTGCTTACGTCAGATCACAGTCAGAGAACTGCGAGGCCAACCCTTCCTAACTTCTAGACCAGGATCTTCCACCACCAGTCAGACAGGGCACAGAGGAAGAAACACAGCAGAAAGGCACTTCCATGGTACCACTGCCCATGAATATGTGCCCCAGAGCCAATCCCCTCTCACTGCCTCAATTTCTTGAACATGGGCTCACTATGGTCCACACATCTCATTTGGGCTTTCTGAGGATAAAGTGGAGGAGTCTACACTAAGCACTCAGAACAGCATCTCAACTGTTCATAAATGCTTCCATCAATGTTTTCCCATCATTACGATTAAGAAGAAAATTTAGGGATGCAGAGAGAACACAGGGGTAGAGCACTTGCCAATCATTCCTGAGACCCGGAGTTCTATCCCTGGTACCACAAAAAATTTAAAAACAAAGTAGCAAAAAAGGAAGATTAAAAAAAAAAAAAAAAAACTATCACTGAAGTTCAGGAGATAGAGCAGAATTGGGGAGAGAGTGAAATATGGAGGATTTTTGTTTTATTTTGTTTGATCTATGGCCAAATGGTGTACCAATAAGAGCTAAAAGAAAATGGCCTTCTCTTTATTGTGACCACAAAGGCTAAAAGAAATTGGAATCACAATCATGAAAACTAGCCCTGTATGAACAGAGCTCATAGTGTGTTATGGCTTGTATCTAGATGTCCCCTCATCGATATGGCTTTTAGGGGTGACTGGGTCATGAGTGTGTGACACTGGTTAAGTCCAGTGAGAGGTACAGCATAGTCCTGGGTGAATGATGGATTTACTGAAGAGGGGAGATTCACTCTGGGTGTGGGTGGTCTAGCATGGCCTTTGAAGAGAGCCTGAATTGAAACATAACCACTCAGGGTCAAATGCTGCTCTGCTACTTGCCAGCTGGGTGGGAGACAATGGCCAGAGTATTTAAGCTCTCGGTACCTCCATTTGCTCAACTGCAAAATGTAAGTAACATTTTCTACCTCAAAGGGTGGCTGTGAATAGTACTGGCACAATGCTCAGGCCTCTGCCCGATACACTTAAATTATTTACATCTACAAATAGTATGGTAAAACTGGAGGCAGAATAGCTAAAGATTAATAATAAAAGCTAGAGAAATAAATATATCCTGCACACAGCAACTTTTCTAGTGCATAAATCTATTTTATAACATCAACATGCACTCAGGCTATGGACATGGTCAGGTTCAGTTAAATTTTGAACCTCAGGCTTCCTACAGATCATTTTACATCTCGAGCTCATAATTACCATACACATATCCAAGCAATACTAAAGAGTGGCAAAATCTCCATGAAGAGCTGCTTATCATGGGGATGTATTTATAAAATGGGGGTTGGGTAGAGAGATTAGCAAAGACAGCCAAAAATAGTCTTATAAGCTAAGACCTTTGCATAAGTCAACAGTTTATGAAAAAGTCAACAAACTTAAAAAAAGTTTTTAAGTAATATGTTATACAATCTGGAAGAATATGGTCTCTTGTTATCTAAGAGTTAGTCATACAGTTGTTCTTTTTATCTTTTTTTTAGATTTTTCACACAGAAAATATACAGGTCTTTCTAAGAAGCTGCAAGTATGGGTCCAAAAGGGCACAGGCATTTTGTATGAAGCTGCCAAATGCAAACCACAGGGGAGTTAACTAGTATCAAAGGTACTGAGGCAACCATCATTGCTTTTTCAGGTCAACAGAAAACTTTTCCTAGATAAAAGGCAATCTCAGCTAAGGCATAACAGTGAATTAACTGAATACCAAACACATGTTTTAATTTGCTCTTCCTTTTAAATGTTAGACAAATATAACAGAATGTGAATTTACACTTTTCGTCTCTTAATCCCAAGAGGGACCAAAAAAAAAAAAAAAAAGACACAAATCTTGAGAGTGTGAAGATCTCACTCCATAATCATCCTGTGTGCCTGTTACCGTCTTTCCGGTTGTACATTATCAAGTAGACCAGCAGAGGCTTGGAAAAGCCAAGGAGTGATAAGATGTAGTAACCCTTTCCTTACTCCAGAGCAGTACTGTTCAATAAAGTTATTTTTAGGGGCTCTACTTAGAAGGGGAAAATAAAGAGGCTACTTGTTATCAGAATACCATAATCTTGATGACAAATGTTATTTTATTAAATATGCCAAAATATAATTTTTACATAGAATGATTATAAAACTTATGACTTAAGATATTTCATACCCTTTTTTTCTCACCAAGTCTTCTAATGTCCTGTGTAGCTCATACTTAGAGTATTGTGCAATTCTGACTAGTCACATTTCAAGGACTCAAGAGGTAATATGGGTATCCACCACTGGACTGGACAGAACAGCTCTGGAGCTCAACAGCTACTGGCTTTAACAGTTCCTTCTGGGAGCTCACTATTTACTGTTAAAATAGATCCACTAAGCCTCAGCAAATTGCTAGCTAGGGAAGACTTCACTTGAATCCAGGGCATGGATATGTCTACTAGGCACCGGCAACGCTATGTGCTGTTAACCCAGGCAAACTGAGTCACCAGTGCCCAAATATTTGTCTTCATCACTGTTGAACCTAAGAGTTTGGGAAATTCTGGTCATTGGACAAACCCCTATTCAAGGGAGGTATATTCTTTCCTTTCCCCTAGAAGAGCAGGAAATGGTCAGACATGCCCACCGCCACACCGAACATGCCTGGGACATCCCACTGTGGTCCCAGTGGTCTATGAAAGGTGCAGGCATGAGAAATGAGATGATGATCTGTTTTCACTAAGCCCCAGCCGTGCTTGAGACAGGTTGAAAGGTGACCTGCGCTTACCAGTGTTACCTACCTCGCAGGCCTACTGTGGTGACCAAAGGCAAGAGCACAGAGACAGCGCTTAGCAAACTGTGAAGCACTATACAATTCTAGTTATTATTATTGACAAAGGACACCATCCTCACCTGAAAGAGCAGACAGAAGGGAAAAACAGTAACTTGAAACACAGAGATGCTGAAGAGGGGAGGGGAACCCCTGAACACACATTCATTCATTCATTGCTCCTGGTGGACTTTGACCCCTTGGAAAAGTAAGGAAAGGACTAAGTAGCCTCTAGCACTTTCCCTGGGAATCTTGGGAGACACTGCATTAAAAAGTAAGAAAGCAGCTAGGAGTACAAAGTCCTACCTTGGCCCCACCGCCCATCACCATGGCGTCTCCTCCTCCCAACCACTGTACAACTCAAGACTGGTTCAAAACGCATTTCTCCTTCCTAGCGTTTCAATGTGACCCTAAAAGGCTGTGCTACTGGGGGTACAGACGACTCCCCAGGACTCCTGGCTCCCTCTAGGTTTCTCACCGGCACAGATGCCACGGCACCGGCTCTTGGGGAGTCATCTCCAACCAAAACAAACAGGCTCAGCTGGCCGCCAGAGTCTCCCAATACCTGTCCAACTGCCTCGTCACGCCTGCAGACTGGCAGGGCAGCCAGCATTTACGAGGTCCAGCGGGAGTCGCCCACACAAAGGCTCCTTGTACCCCGCGCTGGAGAACTGGCGGTTGGGTCGCCGGATACCCGCTGAGAAAGGCCAGGCAGGGAATCCCCCACCCCAGAGCACCAAGGCCCGAATCGTCCTAGTTCTCAGACTCCGCAAAAGGGACACCCCCACTACCTTGTTTAAAGATAAGGCTCCCCTGAACTTGTCACAAACCACACCCCAGGAAGGAACAGCCCGGAGCAGGCACAGAAGCGAGGGCACACTCCGCAGAAGTTTGCATTGTCCCCGCACATCGCTCGTGCCCGTCGGGCCCGAAGGAGGGAATGGGCGCCCCCTTCCGCAGCCCGCAGTGCCCTCCCGCTCCGAGGCTGGAGGACGCCTGGGCCCCCTAGGGCCCGCTCACCTCGAGTCCAGTCCACCACTTGTTTGGGGGTCCACTTGGTCACGGGTTCCATGGTCAAACGGCTTCGCTTTTCGCTGGACTGGGGAGACGATGGTCAGCGCTGGTCACCCCGTCAGAGCTGCATAGCCGCGGTCAGCGGGTCATCCTGGCCGGGCGCCAGCACACGGGACAGCTGTGCGGCTGCTCCTCCAGCTGCCACCGTCCAGCTGCAGGTCCTCCTCCTCCTCCTCCTCCCAGGCCTCTGCCGGGACCCGGGGCACAGCTGCGACTCCTGGGCAACGGCAGCTGCAACCGGGAAGGCTGTGACCCCAGACCCTGCTTCCCTCGACGTGGCGCGCTCTCCGCCGGAGCCACTCGCCAGAATCCCGCTCCTCCGCACACAGCGTTCTCCCAGGTCCCGGCTCCGCGAGCTGCACCCGTAGTTTTTCCTCCCGCGGCCCCACCTCCTGCACTGCCCGCGGGGAGGAGCGCAAAGCGTGCGCGCTCGGGCTGCAAAGTTTCAGCTCCAGTCTTAAGCGCCCAAATAAAAGAGGGGGCGGGGCCGAGGACGCGGGAGCCGCTCGTGGGAGGGGCAACGGCCAGCTCGGGTTACTTTCCCTCTTTACGCCCCGCTGGCGCGCTCCGGGATCTTCCCAGTTCGACTTTCCTTTCTAGGGGGCGGGCTGTGCGCAGCCGGGAGAGCCGGTTGGCTCGTGGGAGGCCCGGGTCCTGTTGGGAGCAGAGCAGTCTGTCTCCGAGAGAGCGACTACAAATGCACACGCGCGCACCAAAACCTGTAGTAGGGGCTGCACGTTCTGTTCACTTTAAATGCGCTGTATCCCTATACAGCTGTGCCGTTCTGCCGCCCTCATTTTAAGTTTCTTAAAGTGGAATGGTTTATTTATGAAAGGGTGACGTGTAACACGTTCTCCCATAACGCTGATGGCAATATTTCAACTTCTAAAATTACTCCTAACCCATTGGCAGTTCTTTGCGTTATAGTTTCCCACATTATAACACTCATATTTGCAAAGTGAGTTAATGCTCATTTGGATTATGTATTAACTCTGAGGGGGAAATTGCTAGCTAGCAACAAAAAGAAAAAAAGGGGCATGCACTGCTTCAGTGACTCACAGAAAGGACCCTTCCACATTCAGGGGACTCCATCTGGAACTATAATTAACCCTGGACTGGGGAAAATGCTAGATGGGAAAGCCCAACTCTCCTTCAAGACCTCGTTGCTCTACCTCCCACCCATGCATAGAGATTCCTTTGGCTGTTAGTGCTTATTTCAAGGAAGGTGATTAATTTGCATCTAGGCTACTGTTAACCCTTGGAGGGCAGAGCCTACTTGGGTTAGAGCTTTCTGGCCCCTCCCTCTTACTGCCAACTAGTTCCCAGCATCTGGCACCAGGGTATGATTGCTATTTATTCACCAAGTATCTGTGAATGCCTCCCCTGTGCCAGGCACTGCATTCATTCAATATTTGCTGAATTAGGATGATAGACTGGTTGGCACATGTGGGAAAGATGGCTGGCACCTAAGCATCTGTTGGAGAGTGTAATTAGTGAGGTAATCAACAAGAAGCAACATATTAAAGAAAAACAATGTCAGCCCTCGTCCCATGCAATTTATCTGTAAGACTAAAGAAACAGCAACAGAGAGATCTGCAGCTTTTAAATACAGTGGGTTTTGTTTTGTTTCTTTTTAGCAAATGTCATTGGCAAACGCAGAAATTTGGCAAAGGTCATGATAAGTTCCTGGTAGAACAGTTATCCTACCAAAAAATGACCTTAGAAACCATCCCTTGTTAACCATTTTTATGGCACTAAAGGGGAGCAAGGTCTTTGTTCACTGGCAAATGTAACCAATCTTATCCACATCTTTAATCACAGCAATCACTGTATGCTGAGTCGCCTGTGATTACACTTAGGTTGACCACAGTAATTTATCTCCAAATCAAAACACTCCGGAGTATCAAAAGACACACTATCAGTAATTATGTTGAAATAACATACCAGGTGATATGATCTCTGTATCTGGAAAGAAAACTTGAATATTAATGATTTTGTCAAAGAACTTTACTTGATGTTTTCAAATTTATGTGCATTAGTTTTTACTGGACAGTAAAAAGCTAAAATTCCAGGTTCAAAAAAGTTTACAAAATTTCATCCCATGAAGTCAACACACTATTGTACCTGTAAACTCAACACACAGTAGAGACAACTGAAGAGGAAGACAATGTTAAAATCTCTAACCAGGAAGACTAATTAACTATATAAGTGAATTAGAGTTCTGTTTACCTTTCAAGTCCTGAAGGCTAATTATTATTTAAATAAGACCTTTCACCTTAATTACAGCTCTTAGCATGTGAAAGTTTTAGGGAGGCCTGACTTCCTATCTAAAATTCAAAGTTGGGGACACAGAAAGTCACTACTGGCAGACGACAAAGGCAGAGTTTTAGGTAAAAAAAAAAAAAAAAAAAAAAAAAAAAAAAAAAAGTGAAGTGTGCACAAAATGATCATTTATAAATTTGCCAGCTTTTGTTCTGCGCTGGCTCCACTCTGCAGTTAACAGTGTCCCATTCTGTACGCATACACATTAGCAAACTTCGGCAGGAAACTTCCCCTTTGGCTCATTGATAGTTCCTCACACATAAGAAAGTGAATAAATACTTAATTGGTGAGTGCATGAAAGAACTGACACTAGAACCTACGTCTCCCGAATTTCTCTTTCCTGCTCCTTTTTTTTTTTTTCAAAGCTAACATTGGGCCTCCTATAACAACTAGGTCATTAGTTCCGTCAATGAAAATCATTAAGTACTGATAAGGCACTAAAGTAGGCAGGAGGAAGATCTGGAAATAAATGCCCAGTGGTTTTTATAAATCAAAGGCATAATGAGACCTTTTGAGTTTTCTTCTATGATCTTTAATCAGAGGAAGGTGCCCTAAGAAGCCCAGGAAGAGGAGTTTTCAGCATCAATAAAATATTGACAGGGTTGGGGAGATAGCTCAGTGGAATAAGTGCCTGCCTGGCAAGTGCTGAGTCCTGGGTTCAATCCCCAGCACCGCAAAATAAATAAAATAAAATAAAATAAAATAAAGTAAAATAAAATTCCAGAATTATTTCTTGCCCGTCCACAGGGGGCCCCGCGTGCGAGCTCAGCTCCCACGTGCCAGGGCTCGTCCCCAGCTGGGCGCGTCTCAGAAGACGGTGGCACTGCCACACCCCGCCCGGCTCCTTCCCTTGCTACTATTTTAGGAAATAATGATTGACATGTTCCAATCATAAAAATATTCTGAGAAATTCTAAAGCTGGGAGCAAGGGAAC